CGATGAAGGACATAGAGAGCGGCGGGTGGGAAGTCTCTGGTCCGTATGTAACGGATGGCATCAAATCGTCGTAGAGTGTTGCTGCCAAGATCGCCCAAAAATCGCCACAAATCCAGGCGGTTGTCCACGCGTTTGGCCAGGAAGGCCTGTTGTAGGGCGATGGGTAGTCGTAGTCGGCGGCGTTTTCGCCAGATGGTGGCGAAGCCCATGTGCCGGGATTGGGAGAAGTCCAATTGGCGTATGAAGCCCGTGCGTGGCCGGAAATGTTTCTCGATGAAGCCAAAATTGAGAGACGGTTGCAGTTCCTGGATGTAGAACTGTTCAGTGGCAAATAGGTCCGTTGCCGGAACGACAGTGTGAATGGGCACCGAGGTGTAGTGGTGGAAAAAGTCAAAATGTGCCCACCACCGGACTGCCAGTTCGGCATTGACCAGATGATGTCGCTGAACTTGGAGTAGTTTGCGAAGTTGGCTGCGGCCCCGTGCCATGAGGGAGGCGCGAGTGGCTCCGAGGTAGAAAAAGGCCTGCCACTTTGGATGGCTGGTGAATCTCAGATAAACCGCTGAAGGGACAAGCTGAGAAGAGAAATCGGAAGCAGGGTTGTCCAGGCCAAGTCGAGTAAGCAGGGCTTTCAGTCTGCCGGAACCACAGGAGAGATGGCAGACGTCAAGTAGCTGAAGCTGTGCGAGTAGCCAGGAGCAAGAATGACGTGCGGTGACGTCATCGGTTGGGAAGAACCGAAGAGTGAAACGGAGGACAGTGAGAAGTTGGCAGCAGTGGTGTTGCCAAAATTTGTGCTGCCTGGCTGTGCGTCGTTGTCGGTGTGCTGTTGAGAGTCACTGGTAGAAGTGACTCGCAGCGGCCAGGATGCGGCCCAAGGCCGATGACCCCAGTTTTGATAGGGTTCGCACCGGGATGCCCCATAGCACAGCGGCTCGTTCGAGTTGGGCTCTGGTGTCGGAGTCCAGTGTGGTTGCCCATTTTGCGCAGTCGTTGGACCAGCTTTTTAGGACTTGCTTGCTCTCTTTGCTGGTTTTCTGAGAGGTGATCCATCGCTGGACTTTGGTGTCGGAAATGTCGGGTGGGAAGTTGCTGGTGAGCCATTGGCAAACGTGGGGAGGTGGTTGGAGCAAGTCGCGGGGCTCCTTCCAAGTGGGTGGGGAGGGGAGGGGGGGAGGGGTCGGGGTGCCGCCGTGGGTGGAGGGGGCTGGAGGGTTGCCGCCGTGGGTGGGGGGAGCCGGGGGGGGTTGGGAGTCGTCTGCAATGCGAGTGGGCAGGGGTAGAGCGGGGGATCCGTCCTGCGGTGATGTGTCAGGTGTAGTCAACCGTGGTCGCTTTATGCCGAAGTCCAGGAGGGAGGCCTGAGATGGACGGGGGGAGGGGGGGGAAAGGGGTTGCCGCCGGGAGGGGGGGGGAGAGAGCCGCCAAAGGAGGGTGGACGAGGGCCGGGGTGTGGTGGGTAACGGGGAATAGGTTGGCCGTAGGTCTGACAGGGAGTCGGATGTGTAGCTGGCGGTGCCGATGCCGTGGAAGAGCATCCGTAGGAAGGCCCGGACAGGGCCCCGCACGGGTTCCCGGCCATGTTGTTGCCGTACACGATGCCATGATGATGGGATGCCGTGGGCGAAGGCTGCGGTGGTAAGTTTTGCCTTTGGAGCGCCGTAACCAAACCTCGAGGGGGTTGGAAAGCCATGAGAAAACACGGGGGAAAAGGAAATGTTCGAACCACAAGCTGGTGAGCGGAATCAAGCGGGTAAGGTCACAAGGTGAGAGAACGGTCGCGGAAAGGCAGAACAGCAAAGCAAAGAAAAAAGGCGATCAAACAGTGCACCAATTCTTTTCCTGGTTGGGTGGAAGATGGTACACTTGCGCCCCGCTAAGCCGGGCGCTGCAGCGCGATGCCTCTCAGCATCGCAAACTTGGAGTGAAGGCACCACTTTTTGCCTCGGCGGCATGCGAAGTGGCGCCGCACGTTGTGTTGATCCTCGTGGCTTCCCCCGGATTCGAGGATTTTGTGCTGATTGATGGAGCGTAGTTCCCCAAAAGCGATGGCGCCGAGTTGAGACTTTCCGATTGTAAAGTTCTGCAAGAGCTGGCCGAGCGTGTCGGGCGTGCATGCCGTGGGGGTGGCCTGAGCGTAGCATCCAAAGCTCGGGTAGTCATGGTTCTCGGGCCTCCAAGCAGCGGGTCGGATCATGTTCTCATGGCACATGCGGCGCACTCGATCCGGGGTGGTGCCGTGCACATACATGACAGCGTGATGGGAGGCCGTGCCGGATCCAGCTTCCGGGTCTCCGCCAGCAACTGGCCAAGGATGAGGTCGGGGAAACCAAGTGGTTGCGAACACCATGCCGTGTGATTCCCGTCCCAAGAGGTGGTAGAAGCTGGGATCGAACGGTATGGGATCATCCGTGTCCATGGTTCGCAGTTCCCAGCATTCCGCGAGGAGATCGGCATGTGAAGGTGGCAAAGCAGGGTCCAGGTCCATCAAAATGGCCTTAGTCTGTTCCACCCTGGAGATGTCCAAGGCTGGAAGCGGGTCCAGCTCCCCCAACTCCCTAGGCGTGGGAACTCGCAGCGGGTCAGTCTTGGCCGTGTCCATGACGTTTCTCCATAGATCAAGCCACCGGTTGTCGGAAGTGGTGGTGGCATTGATGTCCGCCTCCGATGGAGGGGGATCCAAATCACCGGTGTTGTCGAAGGGGGGTTGGGGAGGGTGAGGAGTAGCCGGCGTGGGTCGGGGAGGGGGAGGGGGAGTGGAAGTGAAGGCCGCCGCAGGTGCTGGGTGAGGGGGCAAGCTAGTGTTGTGGTGGCCGGTGCGGGAAGTGGGGTGGGGTTGCTGCCCATGGTGCTGCAGTGACCAGGACGATCGTTTGTCCTGGTTGTTTCGGTGGCCGGTGTGGCTGGCGCCATGGTGGTGCATGTCCCAGCGGTTTTTGTTCTGTGGTGGGTATCCCCACGATTGGTTCCGCCAGTGTGAGGAGGACCATTGAGACTTGTTGGAATCCTTCCCGGAAGTGCGCCAGGAGGTGGAATCATGAGTAGTGTGAGTGGGTCGGTGCGAAGTCGTGGCTCTGGGTGCAGGGGAGTGTCGATGGTGGGACCTGTGTCGGGGGGAGCGGGAGCGGAGGGAGACAGTGGAGTGGTGTGCACGTCGGGAGTGGTGGAAGTGTCGGGAAGGGGAACGTGACCTGCTGTAGCTGCGGGATCGTCGGGTGTCGTGTCGTCGGTGCGACTTGTTGTGCCTGCGATGGTGGCTGGTGTGGGAGTGGGAGTGTCGGTGCTGTCTGTGGCGGGAACGGGATCTGCGAGAGTGGGGATGGTGCCGAGTGTCCGGGGGAGGGTGGTTGGTTGAGGAGGTAGCGGCAGGAGCCGCAGCGGCAGCTTCGGGCGCGCGCGCCGGCTGAGGCTCGGGCAGTGAAGATGGCATGCTGCTCTGAGTCATGAAAGGCATGATGGTGCCAGGTGCCAAGTTGCCGTAATTGGGAGGGCCACCGTAGGGCATCATGGCCATCGGGTTGCCAAAGTTCGAGAGGCCGCCGTAGGGCATCATGGGGAAAGGTGTGAAGGATGCCGTCTGCGAGTTGGGTGACGGTACAAGGTTCATGGGCTGCGTCATCTGGGATGACAGCTGCAAGTTCGGTCCACAATTGCCTGGTGAGCCGGACGCGGTGCCGGTCGCAATGCTATGCAGGAGCGAATGCATCATGTCATAGAGCTGGTGTCCAGCCATCTCGCAAGGGAGAGAGAAGGTTGGAAAGGGGTGAAAACAAAACCACAACTGCGGCAAAAATGCGTCAATGGTGCAAATGCATGCGAGCCAACTTCAACCTGCGAATCGAAACCAAACAGAGGGAATTCCACCAGGGGACCGCCAAAACCCCGCGGCAACGGCAAAAGTTTCCACAGAAATGCATGCGAGCACAAAGGGGTTCTCAGAGGTGCCTGTCAAGTGGCCTCATGAAAGTGCCTCATGTGGCTATGCCGATGAATCTGAACTGAACTCATCCGAGACGAAAGCTTCCATAAACGCCACGAATCGCAGAGTTGGTGTATGACCAACTCGTCACTGGCGCATGAAGCTTAGGAGCCTGAAACCTCGTGGGTGCAGCCTTGCTTCAAAGGCAGGCAGTGCAGGCAGTGCAGGCGCATGAAACCAGCAGAGCACCATTTGGGTGCGGAATACCTTAAGACCTCAAGCTGCAGCCTTGATCGTGGTCAAACGCGCTGAACTGAACTGCAGCTTGAACTTGAACACTTGAACGGTCTTCCCCTCGCAGGGGGCTCCCGCATATGGCGAGTCCAGCCCACAGCGCCATGTCGGACAGGCCGTGGGTAAACACACTTATCTCGAGAGGCTTCACTAGCCGAGATGCAAAACGCAGTCAGTAAAAATGCTTGAATGCAAATGCAAATCAACAGGTCACAACATCGACACCGAACAGGAAGCAACAGCGACAAACAGAAACCGCAAAAAGAATCAGGAAAGAGGGTCAGGAAATAGGCAGGTACGCCGGATTGATCAGATCCGGTATCCACCGAAATGCCGTAGCTTCATTGGACTGGATAGGCAAATCGGCTCCAGTCCCCCTGCAATGTGGAATTTCCGTCCGTGCTCCAGGACGCTTCACACACACACACACACACACACACACACACACACACACACACACAAACACACACACACACATACACATACACATACACATACACATACACATACACATACACATACAAACAAACAAACAAACAAACAAACAAACAAACAAGCAAACAAACAAACACACACCTACACACAAACAAAGACATACACACACCTACACACAAACAAACACAAACACAAACACAAACACACACACACTCACACACTCGCACACTCACACACACACACACACACTCACACACTCACACACACACACTCACACACACAACCCACCACAAATAGGCCAAAACTGGCAGGTGTCCCTGGATTTCCCCTTCACAAGTTGTAGTTGTTCACAAAAAGCTGCTGATTTTTTAGTTTCCAAAAAGGGACTGACTGCAAGGTGGGGTCTGTGCCAGGAGCAGACTTCGACCACCCAAAAACAAAAACGGCACAACAAGAAACAGCAGACAGACACGACGGGACGGGACGGGACGGGACATTACAGGACAGAACAGAAATGCAGACAGACTGACAAACAGACACACACAGGCAGGCAGGCAGACGGACAAACAAACAGACAAACGGACAGACAGACAAACAGACAGACCGACACACAGAAACAGACACCCAGGCAGGCAGGCAAAGCAAGCAAGAAGCAAACACACAAAACAAACAAACAAACAAACAAACAAACAAACAAACAAACAAACAAACAAACAAGATGTTGAAAAGCCAGAGCTGTTGCCAGGGCCGCCTATTCTTGCGGTGCCTGACATTGCCCCAGGCATTCCACATTGCCAACTACCTCACAGGTTCATTTCAATGTCAAAGGTTTGACGGCTAGAAGCGCGATTACTCGCTCTTCCAGGGCCATTGAACCATGGCAATCTCCAGCACTGTGAATAAATCAAGGCTCACGTTCAACTGTGGCAGCGAAAACATGGCCGAGAAGAGGAAATGACCGGAGAGGGCTGAACTGTGGCGTATTGGGTACAAACATTCAAACACGACCGGGCGAGGGGCGGGGCGGGGCGGGGCAGGGGGCGGGGGGGAGGGAGCAACATGATGCATTCAGTCAGCACACGGAGGCACCTCCCGTCCCTTTGTCAGCGGGCTGAGTCAAAATCAAAAGCTGGCATTAAAATGCTCTATCCAGGACCATGTAAGGCTGCCGCACAAGCTTCACTTACCCCGGTTTTGATGGTCCGCTTGTGTTGCAGCTGGACGTAAAAAGTTATGCTCATGCGTTCCGCACAAATCTTGAGCGTCTTGCACAGCGCGGAAAAAAAAGGGGGAAAAAAGGAAAAAACGCATGTGCCGTGGGTCACGGTCATGGCTCTCTAGGATTGCGTGTCTCAACCCAAGGACCATGCCTTCCCAAAGAAATCATTGGACCATCCGGTCATTTGGAAATGTCCCTGGCAGGAGATTTGCTTGGGGCGTTTCAGAGGGAACAAGAGGACATCACGCCCTTAAGTTGCAACACAATCCCATTGGACGCATGGCTTCATTTGGGGGCCCGTGCTTTCTTGTCCCTCCGCAAGCATAGACTTCTGAACATTTTGGCTGAACCTCGCAGCACCCAAAGCCCATTGACTGTTGGTTCTATCAACATGACATTCTTGCAACGTGGAAGCTGTAACAGCTGAGCACAGAGATCTGGTGCTTCTTCTGCGCAGAAGGGGAGAAGTTGCTACGTTCAAACCACCTGGAAAGAGGCAAATCAGAGCGTATATGCACAGAGGATGTAGCAGGTAAGGCTGGGCAGGGAGGAGTTTGTTCAATGACGACTTCGGTTGGTACTGCGACTGATGTTGCGAGCAAAAGCTTCAGGGGGACGGCACTTGGTGAATACTCTGCGCCCGTTGGCTGACCAAGGAGTTAACATGGTTTCGATGCTGTGGGTTTTGGATATAGCTCAGTCTACAAAGCTTTATATACCCCGTACTACAAGCTTTATGATACCAGGTAGTAAAACCACCGGCTGACATGTTCATTGGCGGGGTTGGGCGCTGCTCACATGTGCGTTTCTCAAAATAGGAGTCCTTCATGTACAATGTTTGCAAATGTCAACTAAAAGGGGGTGAGGCATTTTGAGAAGCTCCCAGTGGTGAGAAAAGTGCAACTAAAAGGGGGTGAGGCATTTTGAGAAGCTCCTATCATTCAATAGAGTTCCCCTTCCAAAAGCTGAGATCGACTTTCCGGCGGGCTCCGCTGAAGCCATCTTGCCCTTGGGTCCCAACAATTTGTCTCCGAGCGTCATGGAGGCGAACTCCCCCTCGGTGATGCCTCGCTGGTCCAGGGACCCCAGCACCAGCTCGCCCCACTGGGCACAGAACCAGGCGCCGTGGAAGGCGCAGTACGCCTCGGGTCTTCGTTTTCCGTTTTCGGAGTCTGATGGAATGATCCATGGCTCCGAGGGGCTGATTCGGAGGCGGTCGGACAGCAAAGTCCTGCCTTCAGCTTGTTGGGGTGAAATGGGGTTGCTCTTTTTTGCTCTGTTTTTTTCCGCGCCGAAATGGTTTTGCTCTCTTTTTTCGTGCACGCTTCGGGTGAACTATGATTGTTCAAATTGGAAGTATTCAAGTATTCCTGAGTTGAAAGCTCAGGCGGTCGGACCCGGTCGTTTGTTGTTGCGCCAAGCAAAGGGGCTCCAACTTCCCGACTGTATATGATAAGTGTTCTTCGGGCAGGCCAGTCCAAAGTTTAAACAAATCCGGGTGAAGCACCCCGCTGGGAAGCTGCCCATGGCAGTTGACCGGACAGCCAGCCAGCCAGCCAGCTAGACAGCCAGCCAGCCAGCCAGCCAAACACCAAAAATGCAATGTGGTTTGTAAAATGTCAGCACAATCCCAACAAACTCGGCTTGAGATATCAAGGGCTCAGTTTGCCGCGTGGATGACAAGTCGCCAGCATCAGCATAGGATCTCTCAGCTCTGGGTCTGCAGTGACAGTCACCGCCACCCCCGTGGTATATGCACAGAAGGCGTCGATGCCGTGATCCACCTGGTGAACAATCACCGTGATACAAAAGTAGGATTCCCATCTCCATGACTACTTTATAGCTAAGGGTGGTCCCTCAACCACTCATAGAAATTAGTCCGACCAAGATGTTCACCACCACCTGGAACGCAAACGAAGGCCAGTTTTGGACTTGAACCCGAGGTACCACCTCAGTCTGCCTAGAGCCCACAGCATTGGATAGGGGGGGTCAAACGAATGTGCCCCTTCTGTCCGGCCTGTATTTCAGAACTCCTAGTAGCTCCTTAGCTCCGTTTTTAAGGTACCCCCAGCTCCTTCCTTTTTCCTACCAGCTAGCCTGAACATCAACAGCTTTTTCAACAGCTTTGGGTCACCAAAAAGACCTTCGGTGAATCCCCATGCGATTGTGAATCCAACAGCCATGACCCTGCCACGGCTTGCTTCCCTTGACTCTGGGAAGCTTGGAGCTCGTGCCTCGTGCCCCTGGACCATAGACCCCGCATGCCGTGGGACTTGAACCCCTGTTCCATCCGATGAAGGGCACATCCAAACCACCAGGGAGATGGTGAATGACGACCTCACCTCACCTGTGGGTCAAAAATAATGAGGTACCACAGGACGAAAACAGGTGAACCCTGAATGGAACCCTGGTGAACGGAAACAAAGACGAAAACCCGTAGTCCCCCCCTGATGGTCTCATACCATGGCAACTGCCTCGCTCTTGTGAGCCACGGCGCCACAGCGCCCAGGGGCGTACTCTGCTTGGTGTTCCGCGCGTGCTTGCCATCTACCGCGTCGCAGGTCATGTACCTGGGTCTCCATGCCAGTGCAGCTTGAGGCTTTCACCCCCACCCGTGAAGCGGGGGACACGGAGTCACACTGCAGGGTGGCTGCATATGAGCCGCCGTCAATCTATTTCTCGCGCTCCACCACGCTGGATTTTGGTGAAGCTCCATTTCCCTAATTTGAGACACAACTTTATTCTGTAGTTCCCATTTTTGATAAAGAGGCCCCCACTACAACCCCCCAATCCCAATCCCAACAGGGGCGATCCTAGCGACCACATGGCGAAGTAGGATCAGCCCATCGGCTTCGAGTCGAAAAATCAGGAACCCGTCGGATTGAACTCCCTGCTCAACGACAAGGTACCATGAACAAAAAAAGAGGGCATGGTTAGGTACAAAAATGCTGTAGCTCCAGTCGTTAATTGAAAGCTGACACCTCCTGCCCAAAACGACCTTCTCGCTTTCCTCTACTATGCCGATGAGTTAGAGCTGCACAATGAAGGTAGATCGCCGCTCACTTGGCAACAAATAAACCAAGAAGCCCTTTGACTCAAAGACAAAATCAAAAGTTTCACAACGAAGATCATTTAAGCGGTATGGAATCGCAACAACTCGGATTTGGTGCACTACGCGGGCTCCTAGAAGTACTTCTACTACCACCTTCTACGGCTGCGAGCTTTGTTTAATAATCGTTCACGTGCTCATGATTTGGAATAGAAACTGCAGCGTCAGCCACGTCTTGTTCAGTTATTCTTGATCCCTTGCTAAAAGGCAAGCTTTTGGTGGACATCTAGGAATCCAAAGGTCCAAGGTATGACTGGAAGCCAAGTTCCAGCATCCAACCACCGAATTCTTCGCACAACCGTCGGTCCGTGAGGCGCCAAAACATGCCAAACCGCTCCGCCCGCGACGTGCTGCCGGCCGCCCCGGACCACCCTGGAGCCTATCTGGGCTGAGACCCCAAAGCTTTCAGCTGTTGGGGAAAAATATCCATACCGCTTGGCTGCTTCAAAGAGTGCTCACTCTGTTTGACAGTTTGAGCACCTCTGGCAATCATGCTTGATAATTGAACTGATCATGTTTGATCTTGCTTCCTTGTTTCGCACCTGTGCATCTTGATGCTGGACCATTTGCATTCAGCCAGAATCGTGTAACACTGCCTGGCGCAGAACTGAATTATGCAATAGACTTCTGACAATCTAAACCAAACTACGTGTCGTGTCTCTTATCCAATGCATACCTCGGTGATGGTGCATAAATATGTTGTGTGCTCAAGTTGCAAAATGCTTGCATGGAGAGGTTCCACGCGTCAGGCAGCCCAGCGGCACAAAGATCAGCATGGGTGCCACAAAGTACCAAGCCCGCTGCCGCTGATCTGGGCGCGGGGGAGGGGGTTCTTGAGGGGGGCGGGTTTCACACAGTTGCTGTTGTCTCCGGTGTCAATTTGGCTAAATTGATGGAGTTCACTAGTAAATAAATTCCAACCAAACTGAAACCAGAACCCATCTCTTTCCAACCAACTCTAAAAGAACACCCATGTTTGCGTCGTGTTGCTGTGTCGGTGCAAAACGTGTTTTTTTGGGTGTGTTGAGTGCAAGAACTCGGCAATTCGTGTCTTAAAAGAGCTTGGTGCTCCTAGTGTTGACGTTCTTCCAGGAACGGTTAACACCTCACAAGAAAACACACACCAACAAAGGACCCTACATCTGCTCCCCCCCCACCCCCCCAGAAACAGCACCAACCTCAACCCCCCCCCCGCCCCCCAAACACACGCTTTGTCCACAGCGGGACTTCTCTCCGAGGCTTCCGGCGATTCGCCAGCACGGCGCACACACCCGCGAGCGCGTTGCAGACGCCGCCCAGTACCTGGGGTTGAAAAGTTGGTTAAAAAGTCGCGTGCATTTCGCCGAAAATGGGCTGTCCGTTTTCTGATCCCCTGCTAAAAGCTTTTAGTGAGTGAAACTCGGAAATCCCGACTAAGCCTAAAAAGCTAAAAAGCTTAGGGAATGGGTGGCTGGGAGCCACCAAGTAAACATGGGTCCCAGTTGCCCCCCACCAAGCTGCTTGTTTCTCCCCCCCAACCCGACAAACCCTCCACAGCCCTCACACACCACCCGCACCCCAAACCCCCCCCCCCCCCCCCTAAGCTGCTTGTTTCTCCCCCCAACCCCGATGGTCTGGGGCGGCCCTGAGGTAAGCTTCCACGAGGGTTCCACCAGGATTCCACGGGTTCCACGAGGTTCTGCGAGGGCTGCGGGGTGGTGCAAGCACTAAAAAGAGCACCGCATGCTGTTGGGGATATCACCTGAGCTTATTTGTTGCCAGGACGCCGCCGCGGCTGTCTTAAAGGGAAGCCACAACAACAGCCTTTGAGTTCACTCCTTCAGGTCTCTGTCAGGATAGCCAGGTCTAAGCTGCATGCAAACCAGAGCTCTTGCAAACGGGAACCAAGACTTCAATGGCCGACCCAATCCCAACCACCAATTAAGGGTTAGCTGGGGGTTCGCCAAAATCAAGAGTCTAGCATTCTACTTTGGCAATTTCAAGGCTAGCATCGGCCAGTTGGTCGGCATTTTTGGACATATCATGTCGCTGATGATTCTTCGTTGAGACCCAGATCAAAATGCGGCCACCCAACATAGGGGGAATTGCAGTGATGCACACTAAGGGGGTCATTCATAGCGGGTATGAACGCATGGTTGACGACTCATGTTAGTTTGAGAGTATGTATATCTAATCAAACCCGTGGGGGTAATGATTTGGGGTAGTAGTGGACACTGTCTCAGATTTTTGCATTTCTCAGCAGCCATCAAAATCCAGCTCGCTTGAGGCCCCGGTGCAAGTCGGAAATGCTGTCGAGTTGTGTTGCTCAACTTGCAACATCCGTCCAGGCTTACATGGAACCCGTCTGGGCTGAAACCAAAGGGTGGGCCTCAAGTCCATTCATCTTTCTGGGCTCAAAGCGACTTTCTCAAAGCCCTCAAAGTCTTGGTCCAAAGGGGTTTCCCTCCAAAGAAATTTTGAGAGCGTCGAATGCAGGCCCACTTTAAGGGAAAACCAGGTTCTCGCGATCCTTCCGCCTTCTTTCCCGGGGTTTGGGGTGGGGTACCCCAAAGCTTTCAGCTGTTGGGGAAAAAGAACGTACTCGGGCGCGACCCGAGTAGAAACTGGCAAGTGTTCCGTCTAAATAATCGGTCGGTCATTTTGAGGGGGACATGGGCGGTTTCACCAAGTGTCCCATTTGCAACCATGGACATCAACAATCTCATGTCCTGCCGGGAACCGATTTTTAAAATGTGCCCAAATTATAGATAGGGTTGCCCTGAAAATGGCACAGGAAAACCTCCGTTTTGGGGGTTTCCCTTTAAAGGAAGGTGTAAATAGGGTACCGAGCCTCAAAACGTCCGATCCTGCCGCGTCGCTGAGATCAGGTTCGGGGAAATCCTTCTAGGGATCTGCCTCGCCACACCTCAACTCAGCATTTTTTCTGCGAAAAGGAATAGGTAGGCTTCCATTTGGTTAAGACCCTGGAACAAATTAAAAAATATGTCAGTAGCCATAAGTTCCTTTTAAAACTCTCAAGCAATTGGAAGTAGGTCTCATTCAGAAGCTCCCCCCCCATTCGCAATGGGCCAGGGGTCCTGAAGTTTTCCGCGAAAAGGGACCCCGCTGGTAGGTTCCACGTTGCGCGGCCAGAGGGACGCATTGCCCGTTGAAACCCAGAAACGGTTGCAGGATCCGTCATAACAAGCAGCCCTTGGCATGGTTGCAAAACAAGCTCGGTTTTTGCACCCCCCCCTACCAAAATGAGCAGACCAGAGCCAAAACAACTAAAAAACAAACAAACTTGCCAAGACCACTGAAGTAGTGCCTGACAACGATGTCGTCTTTCAGCCAGGTTTGATAAGGCAGGGCGTTGATCAACCGGAGCCTCAAACGAGACCAGATCAAGAGCCAACTCGAAATGCGCGGGTCTGTTTCGGGGACCAACTCTCGACTTTTGTGGGACTAAACGCTTTCGAAAGGAGCTGGACCAGAAGGGCTCCATCTTCTCCTCGCGGTTCCGGCCGATTGTGAGCGAGCTTGAAGGAACTCTTCACGGAATTGGGTCCCTTAAAGGATTCTTAGTCTGAGGGTTTTTGTATTACACCCCTGGGAATACACACACTGGGTATTGACCCCATTGAGGCACATTTTCCGGATAAAACCCGCGCTATTTTGAGCCAGTCTGGGTCATTTCCCAAGGGTGTAATCCCAGGGCTCAGGATGCTATACAAAAACCTTCAGACTTAGGGGATTTCTGCAAAGAGGTGCAATGAATGTAGATCAAGCAGGAAACAAAAGAGAATCAGAACTTCCAAGACACCAAATCCGCGAAGTTGATAATACTTCCTAAACCTGATATAAAAGTAAGGGTCACCGTAGGGCCTGCATGACGAGCTCGGGCTCCTGACACAACGGTCTGTCGTGCGTGCGTTCTCCCTTGGGTGTGCTCCTTTCGGGGTTTAACTTATTTCTCAGAGGTTGAGTCGACTGGAGCCTCGAAAGACGCGTGGCAGCTTCACTGCCACGTTAAGCAAATCAAACTCAGAAAGCTTCGAGCTACTCCGGCAAACAAAGGCTGTCATGTGACTCATTGTCTTGGTGGCTGTCATACTTGTGGGCCGCGTCAAGTGTAAAAAATACATACTCAAAGATGTGCTGGGGCACTCTGACTGTGTCAACGTATCCTTGCATGGTCGGCAACCTGGTATCCTGCCAATTTGACGCAAAGCATCGTTCCGTGGTTTTTCACTTTTAGCTAGAGACAGCACCAGGATTCATGCACCAAGCTGTGAAACAATCTCCCGTTTTGACAGCATGAGATTGCCAGAACTCATCAGGCCAACAAGGACTGGAGAAGGCAGGCTTGGCGCCAGGTATGCGTCCAAATTGGGACCCCCCCCCCCGAAAAAATAAAAATAAAATGGGAAGACCCCCCCAAAAAAAAATAGAACGGATTTCGGTTTTCCTCTTGGCTTCCCTTGAAACCAACCCGAAAGAGGTCCCCTTCCTCCCAAAAGACATCGAGTTGGCCGCGAATCCTGCGCATCTAGCCCAGCGGAGCACCGATCGGGTGACTGAGGGCCCCACGTCCAGCCAGGTGTAGCCGGCGGATTGGAACTTGTGCCCCGCGAGCTGGCGGATGGCGCTGTCCGGGATGAAGTCCATATCGCTCGAATCGACGAGTTGCACCCCCAGCGGGGGGGGGGGGGGGCGACGTTTGTTTCTGGTAAGACGGGTCCCCCGCCACTTTTCAGACGTCAAATTTGCGTTGGGACTCATGGCCACAGACTTGAAATATCTAGATAAGACTCTGGGAATGTCTATGGGCAGCGGGCGTTTGCGGCGTGCAAAGGTGAACATGTCTTTGGGATATGGCTTTCATTGGACCAAACATACCCAGAGACACATCCGTCACTTCCTTTCAATTCGCCACGGTGTCCGAATGAAAAGGAAAAATATATATATATATATATATACTAATGGTTTGCCAACTATAAACATGACTAAATGTGACTTTAAAGTACTCCATAACCCCATTCAATTGGTGCGATCCTTGTATGACTTCACGAAGCTGCATGTATGAGCTTCCCCGCGTCACACGCATGCAAAGCTATCCCTGAAGAAATGTTCGATGTGGATGGCGTTCCTGACCAAATTGCAGGTCTTCTGCATGCTTCATGTTGCGTGACTCAGATTGAACTCGCATGCGTCCAGCTACGTTATGGTGGCCTTTCAGGCAAACCACTTGTTTATGATCATCCTGGCCGCAGTCCAATCGATCGATCAAAGCCCAGCATTCGCCCCATGTGTCTTGCAAGGCCGCTGGCGGCCGCTGGCGGCCGCATGTGGAAGCCCGGCCGATGCTGAGACGGCCGATGCGAATCAAGCGCGAGGGAGGCAGAGGACCTGGACGATGTCCTAAGGATCTGAACCAAAGTGACCGCTTGCCAAAAAACCTTCATCTCGGCGACACCCAAAAACACACCAGCAACTCCGCTAGGAAGGGCCTGGCTTGCATGAGAGAGTCTCAACACATAGGGGGGCCCTGAAGTATTGAATCACCCTGAAAAGGGCTGCCCTGTGCCAAAACGAAAACTGGGATCAACGGGAAACCCTTCTGTTCCCAAGATGTGCCTCATCCCATCCAAGAAACTGTGGCAAACGAAGCCTAGCCACGACCCAAAGAACAGCACGAGGGTCGGCCCAACAGGCTGGGCCAACTCTTCCACTTGGAGATTGGGCCAAGTGAGCCCAGAGCTTGCGGCAAACACCGGTTTTCGGTTTTTCTTCAAGTCTTCAACCTAAGGCCCTAACCCTGAAACTCCCAAGTTGAAAGGGAAAGACATGGGCAAAACTATGGGAACCCAAAAACGGTTCACCTTAGGGGGGACACAAAACCGGGGCACAATGCAAAGGCTCAAAGGTGAGGACTTTTGGTCGATTCGCAACGGGGTGAGACCCCACATCCAACCAGCATCATGTTGCTACGAGCAAAGCTCAGAGAACCCGAAAACACCCAAATAGGACTCAGAATTGGACCAGAAACACAGAAGATGCTTGCAAGACCTCAAGACCACCAAAACGGCAGAAAAAAAAAAAAACGTCTGCAAGACCGAAACTACACACATGAGACCTGGAAGTAAAACGACACATGACCCCCAAGTGGAAGCTAAGTGTGTCCTCTCTGTGAGAAGCGCACGAGGCTCGGTAAGCACCTGTGGCGGCGTTTGCAACATGAGTCATCATAAAAACCTGGCATTGCAGTGGAAAGGATGGTCGGCATTGTCCCCTTCAACCCTTCATCTATCTTCATTTACCCACGGTTTTGATTGTGGCTCGCTGGGTGTCAACTCTACTTGAGAGCATGTGCACAAAAGCTGCCAGCAAAACTTAAACACTAAGTGCGCACCACTGTGGAATTTGCGAATCTGAGGTTCCTGAGCGAGCAAAGACCGGGGAAGGAGAGGGTAGACAAAGGGGAAAGAAAGCGAGAAGAGGATCTGAGGAGCTCAAGAAAAAGGCCAACATGCGGCCAAATCCGTCTTAGGATATTGCAGTGCCCACCGTTGCAACAGCTAGCAGAGCTAACGCTACTTCCATCTTGCTTCTAGCCATTCGGCTCCAACCACTGTTTGGACGGACATTTCTTTGGCGCGGACATTTCAAAGAGCTGGAAAGCCTGTTGATCACCAATCCCAAGCACATAAGAACCCCTGAGTTGGAGACACCATGGGCATAATGGGGCAACTCATGGACAAATCAACTTGTGACGCAGATCAACAAGCTTTGCATCTAGACCTGCAAGGTAAAATGAGACTGAACCGGAGCACATTAGACACTTAGTAAGTTGCGAGGTTTTTTTGGGGAATTTAGGGCTCGTCCAACATGTCTCCCCCCCAATTGAAGCAAACACACATCGTGGACTGCAGCGAAGAATTCACTCTCCAGTGGGATGCAGATCTCAAGTGGTTGGGTGGCAAGGCCGACCATCACACTCCCCCATGAATCACAGATCGGAATAGAGCAAAGCCAAGCATGCAAGCATAGAGCCAGGCCACACACACACACACACACACTCTCAAGACAACACCAGGCGACACTACACCCGTAGAGCGTGCACATCAAACACAGAACAGCGAAGAGGGCAAGCGGGTCAAACATGACCCCCTTTTAACGTCCTTTCCGACAAAGCAAGCCAGAAAAGCGGCCAGCCAACCCCCAAAAGCAAGTGACAAGTCTTGGTCAAAGAGTGGCCCTCGTGCCCAACGGGTTGCGCCCCGCCCCTCTCTCTCTCTCTCTCTCCACAGATGGGTAGGTGGCTAGTTGGATTGGTAGGTACATACTGTGGATGGACGAAATCCTGCACCACTTTGAAACCATGGGAAACCATTGTTTGTTGGTATTTACATGGGAATCGTATCATTCCAGGGTTTCTGAACGGTGGTGCGAAATGGATTTCGTCCATAGATAGGTCAATAGCTAGGAACTTGACTCACCCCCAAACGACAGATCTGTCACCTGCCCCCAGCCATCCTCCGAACGGCCCTCAAGCGCCGGCCCCCACTTGCAAGCCACACAGCCCTGGGTTTGTTTGGGCGATCAAGCGGGTGTCCAGGAAGCCAACATGCCTTTTGAGCATACCCCGGACCCCAAATGAAAGCAAAGCAATTATCATCATGGGAGGGTTGGGGTATGCTCAAAAGGTATGTTTGCTGGTTCTTAGAGGGTGGTGAACCCCGACTTTATATCATTTTTCGTCACCATTCATTTCGACCACCTGCTTTTGACATCTTCCCCACTTTGTGCTAAGGCCATGGTTGCAATGGTCTGAGGTGAAAGGCCAGGAACTCGGGGAGTGAGACCAACCACACACCACTTCCCAAACCCCCCGTTCGCACCAACTCCAAACCAAGCCATCTGCTTTCGCCCCACTGCAGGTTCTCAAAATGGTGGATCCCCTTTGGGCTGGTAGTTGAAGAGAAACCACAAGGAACCACCTTTTTTTCTGGTCTCCTATGTTGCGTCCAAATGATGGCGTTTTCGGTTCCCCGCTAGTTGGCTGTGGAATATTCAGCCAAATTGAATTTCAAGGATTTCACCAGATATGTGTGTTTGCTTCTGGACGACCCGTGCAGCACCCGGCTTGCTGTATGAGTACCTCCCAATTTCGCGCGACTTCGATCCTCGACGTCCCTCTTCTCGCCTGCAGCTGCTGAGGGCCTAGGCACTGCAGCGCCATCTCCACGCGTTCGCCCTGCGAGGCTATCTGGAGCCACCGGATCATCTTTCTACTCGTGTGTCGTGAAGAATACGCGTTGTTTTTTTGTTATTTCGAGGGGGGGGGGGGGGAGGGGGCTTCGGTGCTGGGAAGTCAGCTTCCCTAGAGCACGCAAAGGATGACTCCAGCATCCCCGCGCCTGCAAGGGCGGTCGCACACGGCCCATGATGCGGATGCAGCCTGGCGAGTGGAGAGCCTCGATGCGACCTGTGTCTGACTGGAGGATTCGCCTAATCCGGCTGGTGCAAAACAGCCAAGAAGCTTTGCAAAAAAAAACGCCATAAAAAAAAGGAGAAACAAAAACCTCTTGCCTTTCACTGTTGGATCCGCACAAAGGCATCGACCTACATCTATATATATATATATATGTGTATATATACACACTTAATATTCATATATATATATATGTATATTCATATATATATATATATGCATACATGGTTGAGTCGAGAAGCAAGCCAATCAGATTCGGTCTGTTACGTGGATGTTCACAAAAGACTCAGGCCAACAACTGAATCATGGACAAACCTGCAGCTCCTGCACCCAAGCCCAAACACATGAATAAACATGTTTGGAAGTTCTAGCAGCCAAGTACATAACAGAACGGTGTTTATCAACAGAGACGCTGACAGTGGTTCACATCTGTGATCGCGCTGACAACACTGTACACTTGTACGATCTTATAGGTAAACTACTAGACTACGCTGTATGACTATGAAATATGCACGTCATTGATTGAGGTGACGCCCCTTTGTTAGGGGAAGTCTCGCGAAGGGGAACCAAGGCATGTGTGTCTCTTTGAGGGAGCCCACTTGTAGTCGGCCTAAATCGCAAACCGAAAGCAACGCCACGTTGGCAGTCCCCGATTGTTTCGGAGGCCCACGCCCACATGACTGTGGGTCAAAAATAGGTACCCAGAAAGGACCCCTCTAAATGGAAACATGAATCAAACAAATGCGGTCCCCTAATCATTGAATTTTGACCCACGCCCACATGACAAACACCACACCGGTGCCACCTTTCAGTTGCCGCGTCGCTTCCAAGCACCGCCGCCGCTCCTGGAGAGCGCGAAATGTGCTTGCAGTGAGTCCGATCATAGCATTTAGACAAAAAGCTGTGGGGCTGGGAAAGGCAATGGCAATCACCCATTAAATTCCTAAGTCCGTTTCAGGGGCTTACTTTGGTTTTTCCTCGGCATGTCCAGGTCACCCCTCCTGGAGGTGCAAGCAAGTGGTTCGGATTGCCAAACCGTTTGGGCGCGCTCTCCCGTGTTGGGGCTGCCTTGTTTTCCTCAAATCGGTTGCTTCCTCGCCTTTGGTAAATAGAATTATAAACTCATAGCTCCTTTGCCTCGAACTGGTGGTCTCACTTCAAAACCTCACTCTAAGCAACGTCTTGCTCCAATGCTTTCAGCGCCGTATGCGCCGTCCAGGTTGAAGCAGAGCCAGATTACAAGCTCAGTTGCTCGTGCACCTGGCTGCTGTTTCCGCCACCTCCTCGACTACCCCAGGTCACAACAGCCCCAGATTCAAGAATGGCAGCAAAAGCACTTTTTGTTGATTGGATGCTCTGGACGTTCCTGAGCTGCTCTTGGACATGGCTGCTGTCTCCGCCCCAGCCTGGATCGCCCCAGGTCACAACAGCCCCAGATTCCAGAATGGCAGCAAAAGCACGGTCAGTTGCTTGGACGTGCTGGACGTTCCTCAGCTGCTCTTGCACGTGGTCGCTGTCTCCACCAGACTCTGGATCACCCCAGGTCACAACAGCCCCAGATTGAAGAATGGCAGCAAACGCCTTACCATTCGGATTGCTTGCCTGGATGTGCTGGACATTTCTCAGCTGCTCTTGCACTTCGCTGCTGTCTCCTCCGTAATCTGGCTCGCCCCAGGTCACAACAGTCCCAGATTCAAGAATGGCAGCAAAAGCCCAGCCAGTTGCTTGGATGCGCTGGACGTTCCTCAGCTGCTCTTGCACCTCGCTGCTGTCTCCGCCGTGTTCTGGTTCACCCCAGGTCACAACAGCCCCAGATTCAAGAATGGCAGCAAAAGCACTAATTGTTGATTGGATGCTCTGGACGTTCCTGAGCTGCTCTTGGACATGGCTGCTGTCTCCGCCATAGTTTGGATCACCCCAGGTCACAACCGAACCGGATTCAAGAATGGCAGCAAAAGCACCGCCAGTTGCTTGGATATGCTGAACGCTCCTCAGCTGCTCTTGCACGTGGCCGCTGTCTCCGCCCCAGTCTGGATCACCCCAGGTCACAACAGCCCCAGATTCAAGTAAGGCAGCAAACGCCATACCATTCTCAGTTGCTTGGATGCGCTGGACGTTCCTCAGCTGCTCTTGCACCTTGCTGCTGTCTCCGCCTTTTTTTGGATGACCCCATGTCACAACAGCCTCAGACTCAAGAATGGCAGCAAAAGAACTAAAATTTGCTTGGATGCACTGGACTTTCCTCAGCTGCTCTTGCACCTGGCTGCTGTCTCCACCGTGCTCTGGATGACCCCAGGTCACAACGGACCCTGATTCCAGAATGGCAGCAAGAGCTCCGCCATTTGCTTGGATGTGCTGGACGTTCCTCAGCTGCTCTTGGACATGGCTGCTGTCTCCGCCATATTGTGGATTGCCCCAGGTCACAACCTCGCCCCCATGGCCATGCCAAGCAAACGACACACCAGTGGTAGCCAGTTTGCCAAGCTGCAGAACCGCAGACACCACGTCTCCATCTCGCAACCCAGACTCATGCAGCGTGGAAGTCAAATCAAGCTGCTGGCCTTTCACAGTGAGCTTCAAGCGGCGCTGGAAATGCTGCTGCGCTGTAGCTTTCAGTTCGCTGATTGGCCTTTTTGCTGGGAGTGAGATGGAGCAACCATCTCCGCTGGGCAAGTGCACATCCACCTTCATGGCGCAGGAAGGTTTTTTTAACCGTACTCAAAATGGCCAGACACGAATCTGAGACACAAAACGTGTAACTTAGAACACCCCTGTTTAAATGGCGTTAAAGAGGGGAATTGCAAGGGTTCAATTCCTAGAACACGATGCGTCATGGGTGTTATAACGTCCCTGTAAGGACCGCCCTAGCTGTCTAACCGAAGCATTGTAACTGAAGTTCTTCAGCTGAAGCCAAAGCGAGATTACCGCAATGAGGAACCTCCCACTGGAAAAAAACAACAAAAACATGATTCACCGGTGTTTTGTGATTGGAGCAAAGCCAAACCCAGCAAAAATGCAATATCGATGTACCCCAATACAAGCAAAGCCAAACCCAGCTGCCAGTGGATGGCATCATTTCTGCCCAAATCCGGAGCGTTATGCATTGCAGTTACACAGTCTGGCTGGACATTTAGGAGGGGTCCCTGCAGCGCGGTGTCCAGCATGTAGCCCCTTGCTCGTGCTACTAGTGTTTCTCTTTGTAACAAAAACATAAATTCACCGTTGACAGCATGCAATTCACTTTGACACTGCCCCCACACTTGGTAATCAATCGGCAATGAAGACGTTTGGGCAAGGACTCCACTCAGTATTGCACATGGAACTTGAGAGCATGAGTCATATTCGTAAATCTTTGCCGCGGCCATGCGAGCAGCTTGTTGCTGTGAAGGTCGCCATCGTTTCAATCTCTTTCAGTGCCGACTAACTCACTAAAAAGCAATATGGAACCCCAAAATGGGGACGTGGTCCCACTAAAATATTTATCATCACGGGTTCAAATCAATTTCGTTCTGGTCTCGCAGCATTACCTATGGGTGAAACGCCGCAAAGCAAAACCTTTGCGAGGTCACAAAAGTATGAATGATCAGCGCAGGTGCTGACGAGAATGAAAAGCAGCACGTCAAAGGCAAACGGGCGGTTCAAAAACACATAGAAAGGCACGATAAGTCCTCCCAAGCACATAGGCAACATGTTGGGGTGGTGAATTGACAGTTTTGCTTCTTGCAATGCCGACATCTGCTTCCGCACCGGATCAGCTTGCTACAGTCAAGCCTATTCACACTTTGGGGCCTCTAATGGCTGCCTTACCTTGGCAAGAATCCCTGCAGCACTTGTCTGAAATCCTTTGTGGGTTTCACCTGTCAGGCCCGATGACTAAACCAATCGACACTTGACCGTGCCTGTTATAAATGGAGTGTTTTCTGCCAAAAAAGAAGTGTGAAGGCCCAGATGCTGGTGCAGGAACGCTGGGGATGCTGAGGATATTTGGAAGGCTGGCCGCTGTCAGGGGCGATTTGACAGTATTTACGGTGTTTTTTTTTTTTTTTTAACGTGGGGCAAAATGACATCAGGAGCCCGTGGCAAGGCCACAGATGTTGGGGATGTTTGGGGGTCCAGATTTCTTGGCTGGCCTGCATCTGGATGATGCAGGGGATGCTGAGGAGGTGTTTGGTGCCAACAAAACTTGTCAGCCGTATACCCTCGAAGACACACAGCGCAGCAGATTTTTTTGAGAATGCCTAATTAGGATCCAGCAATTCATGTTCACCAGCCCACTTTGAGGCAGTTCCGACTCTGCAAATTCCTAGCCAAATCAAATTCACTTTGTTGCGTAACCTGTGCTGGCGGCTTTCCAGAGAAACCAAAACGGGCATTTCACCCGCCCACCCCCCCCACCCTCAAACCAGACGGCCCTCGCCTGGTTGGCTCGGTCCGTGCGCTGCTGTAGGCGCTGCACCTCCTGCAGCGCCTCGTGGCCCAGGTTTTGGTGAGTCTGCCCCGGAAAACCGCAGCCATGGGGCGGGGGGAGTGCCATTCCCACCGGTATCCGGTTTTAGATGGAAACCAAGGGGAACCAAAGGGAAACCAAAGGGCAAACCCCCGGCCATGTGGGGGGGAGTCGATTTGTTTAAAGGGAGGAAAACCGAAGTCATGTTGGGGGGTCCCATTCCTTTTTTTGGGGGTGGTTTTAAGTGGCCCCATGAATTTACCATGGGCAAAGTCATCCAAGTGCCAAGGGGAAACAACCCCATTGTCTGCTTTGATGACCCCGCAAACGGTCGAAAGAATGACCCCAGTTTTAAAGGGGCACCAAAGTTGGAAAACCGCAGCCATGGGGCGGGGGGTCCAATTTTTCTTGTGGGCGTCTTTTCCGGTATCCATCAACACTTCCCTGCGGACTTCTAGATCCTCCTGGCGGCGTGTCACAGGGAGGGTTTGTTCTGGGTAGGGCAGTCACGGAAAGGAGGCGTCAAAAAAAGCCGTTTGGGCAACAATAAAAACGTTTTGGAGATGAAACATCACTTATCAGGCATCAACAGAAACATGTTTGGGGCATTTGTGCTTGGAAGACGCAGAAACCACCACACTGCCCCATCAATTGGAAACAAGGGCCCCTTCTTCGTGTTGGATGAGTTGCAATCAAAACCTGGCACGTATAAACTGATACTCTCTCCTACCACTCAGATGTTGATGGCCATAAGTTTGACAACAGAAATAAGCCCAGGTAAGAGTACCACTACTCCGTTTTGAGGTTTGATAGCAGAAATAAGCCCAGGTGACCAGGTGGTATGTCGGTTGGGAAACAAGAAAGGCGGAAAGCAACGTCCGAATCTCCGCCTCGGCCAAACGCGCCTTGTTCCGCGCCTGGCGCGCCACTCGGGGCAAACGGGCTCAGATCTTTGCAAGCTTGGCACGCCATGTTCTTTCGGGTGACCCTATTTTGACACCATCGCAAAAGAGCTCAATGGACAACTTATTTGGCAACGGATTTGGCAACTTATTGCCCCGCTTATTTGTTGGTTTCATTTGGGTTTCACTTAGCATCTTCAGCCGCTCTCCTTCTTCTGTGTCTGCTTCACCGGCTCAACAGCTTGTGACTTTCAAGGTCCACTAGGTCAAAAATATGCGTTTGGCTCTCCGCGGTGTCCGCAGGGTCCGCGTTCTCTTGGTCGGCTTCAGCTGCCGCGGCACAAAGGACACTTTTACGCCCCAGTCGACCAATGAAGGGTAAACACTCTACAATCAAGGACACACATATCATTTCACCATACATTCTGACAAATTAGAGGAGAGCAAGTCCTGCCTCACTTCCTGAGTGGACTGGCCGGGAAATTTCAAGCATCTATCTATTCATTTTGTGATTTGGGAGGGGACATGTCGGTGGCTATGGGAAGGAGAAGGCAAGCAATTCCTTTGTCCAGGGAACGAATGGACCTCAACTCAATTTGGCTTTGAGGTACGTACTCCAACAACCCCCTAGTCTGGTTCTTTAGGCCCTTATAGTGGACGTTACTTGCGCTCTTGGTGGTGAAGTGTGGTGGATTCTTGTCACGTGGCGCATACGATGACTGGGTCAAGGCGGGTTTGCTGCACCGTGTCTAGAACCCCGACAAGGCACTCAGACCTCGACCTCAGAGACTGAGCGGCCCAGGGGCGCAAGGTCGGAAAATCACCAAATTCCCATACCAGCACCCCCCCACCGCTGCTTTTTGGACAGTACTTGGGATGTTGGACATGGAAAAGGCAGATGTTGCGGGGTGAGTACAAGTACCTCGCTCCAACTTTCTTGCTTGCGGATATTGAAACACAGGCCTGGTGACCACTTGACAGTGCCTTAGGTCTAGACGATGACTGTGGGGCCATGCACAGGAATGGCGTTCGCGGCGTCATTGAAGGCAGACGAAGCTTCCCAAGGAGTAGAGGCCATGCAGACATGTCATGATTTGATTGTTGGCAAGACAGCACACACAGAGCCGATTGCAGCAAACACGGCAAGGTAGTTCGGACGAGGGACATTTGCGATGGGAGTGGCAGCACGCGCACACACACACACACACACACTGAATCATATGTGCAGTCGCGTTCCTCCGACTGAACCAATTCAGTGCATTTCATCTGCTAGATGGACCTTGTCGGTATCCGATGAATTGTTTTTGATGTCCGATTGGGTTTGTGTCAGAATGAGGAACCTCCCCCCCCCCCAACATGGCGGTTTTATTGTTGTTCTCTGTAAACCCACCCAAGTTTTTTTTAAAGGGTATCCCCTTTGCGGTTTCCTTACAGGGGGGACCACCCACAAACCACCCATCTTGGAGCGTCCCCCCATTTCGACACATCCACACACAGCCAACAGTGCCTGCAAAAAAAGAAAACGTTGTTTCCCTGCAGTGTACCTTTTGCAACCACCAAAAAATTGGGACACCCCAACCAACAAAAAAAAGCAGAAGGGGTGCTCATGTAAAAATCCCATCCCCACCAACACCCGGTCTCAAAAAAGAAATCCTCCAAGGCGTCTCACCGCCTCCACGCTGGAGGCAGTGGTGGCGCAGCTGGACACCAAGGGCCGCTCCGAGGACCTCGCGACGCGCGCGAGTCATCCGAGCAGGTCCCGGGGGGGACGGGATAGGCACCAGGGCGTTCCATATGGCGGTGGGTCAAAAAGAGGTACCCCAAATGGAAGCCTGGCAGGTGGAAAATCTGGACCAAAACCTGTGGTTTGCTGGCGTTTTCATTTTGGCCCATACCCATTTGATCAAAACTGAATCCCAAGGATACTGATGAACCAAATCTGAACACCACGAAAAGAAACCACGGCTGAAGCCACAATGCTTGTGTATTTGCAGGGGGAACCATCATAGGGGTTCTGAAACGGTGGCACGGGATTTTGTCCATCCACGGTATGAGGGGCAACCCCCCCCTGGGTTTACGTCGTGGGCATCAGGTAGCAACAGGGATATGGGCCATGCCCCACACTTGAGACCCGGAGCTTCGGTTGGGCAGCGGAAACAAAGGCCCCTCTCGTGGAAGCTGATGATCGGATGACTTCTGGGAAGGCCAACAAAACATCCACTTCCGTGACTCTATGACGGTTGGAAAGAGGGTAACCTTGTGAAGGAGCAGCAAGCAGAATCAGAACCTGACTAATGGCACTATTCCAAGATATGTGCACCTGGGATCACACACACGCGAACAGAAAAAAGAGACTCAATTCTCTTAGCTTGAGCCCGTACTGTGCTATCAAGTGACCAGCAAAAGTGCCCAAAAAGCAGTGACATTGTTCATACCTTGTGGTATCTACTACACGTCGCAGAGACGCTTGAGGGACAAAGTCCGTACGACCCAACACCACATCCGGCAATGCCCACATGCACATGCTGCAGAAAGAGTAGGTCCGATTTGCTTGGCTATAGAAACTCCGATTCATCGCATCGCCCAACTCTGAAACCAGAGCGGGCAACGCAACGCCAGAAATCATTCAACTCAAGCTGGCTTCTCGGCTTATTGCAGATCAACATGGAAACCACAACCACCAAACAAGTCTACGAGAAAACTCCGGTCTTCTTTGACCCATGGGTCCCATACAAAACACGCTGACCCGCTGACCAAAAAGACAGCTTCTTTTCCAAGGGGACTGGAAGTGACTGGCACCCAGGCATGGTCGTCAGCATCGGAGAACTTCCTGGCATGCAACGAACCAACCAGCGAGACTGCCCATGTGTGTGTGGGTGTCTTGTGTAGAAAAAAACCCGAAAACTCCCCCCAAAATGGTGACTTTCCTTTTGGCTCCCCGTTGAAACCATCCCAGAAAGGGGACCCTCAAAAAGGGCAGACTCATGTTTGCCCTTTACAATCACCCGAGGCAACTCACTTTGAATTGCGTCAAGGGATGCTTAAAACCACCCTTCAAGGGGGAATAGAGGGGGCACTGTCTGATTGAGGTTGATAAGAAATGCGCACCGCGATTCCAATTATTGCAAACCCGTTACAATGGTGCTTGCCAACTTCCCAAAGGGTTGATGACCGTCCCTAACGCTAGCACAAGGGAAGCTGATCATGTGAATGTGCATGCCGTTGCGTAATATCAGGATTCAGTGCTGAATGATGAAGAATTTGGGATCCAAGATATTTGATGCATCACAAATGGTCAACATATGCGCTTTGTTTCTGTGCTTGTGCGTCTTGTACAAACAGCGATAAAATCCTGCACAACACTTAGACCAGACCCATCATGCTCACTTGTGGACGGAGCTATCTTTGTACGCTTGCGTGCGCATCATCCTCACAGGTACCGGATTTCCCTCATTCCGTGGGGCAAAAGGGTTAAGACATTTTTTTTAAAAAGGACGATGTAGTCAAACTCCTATAGCCGGCCCCCAGGTTGACCGCACGTAGGGTCATGACTGTGGCAAAACAGTGTTAAACCGCATCAGTGGGGTATGACTTCAAGTGGGCGACCCTTGGTGTTCCCCATGACGGTATTGTTCGTTTGATGAAACAGGCCTTTGTATATTTTGCGCAGCTATGCTGTGGGACCTCTTAAACAAAGAGTCCGCTTGACGGTTTCCATCTACCAGCCGACGTGCTTTTAGACTGGCAGTCCACTGCACCCTAAAATCGATCTAGGAAACCTGTGTCCCGATTCGTCGAATGGGTGGTGCCATGCCAACTTCAACCCTCATTGGGGAGGATATGTTTTGGTGCATAGAAGTCCTTACAGCTTGACTACATTCCCCACAAGCAGGTCCATGACGCAGGTCCATGACCATCGTTACTGCATGACAAAACCAAAGTCAAGGGACTTTCCTGGGAGGTATGGATGCGTATTGCACCAATACCAGCTTGTACGCCGGTATATACCCCTTTGAAGCCCTTTTGTAGAAGCGGTATATAACCTGTACCTCCAACACCCATACGGGTGTGGCTCAAAATTAAACAGCAGGGGTTGCGCAGGTTTTGGTCCATGTTTCCACTTGCCAGGCTTCCATTGGTATTGGTTTTTGGAGCCACGGCCATACCTGAAACTAATCCATCCACAGATCTCCGGATCTCCGGATCGCCTGTGGAGCTGGCGTCCCTTCGTTCGTGGCCTCAGGATCTTGGGCGGGACCCTTGCGCTCGAGTAGTTTCTGAATAAGGAGACCATGGTGCAGGACAGTTCATGGTTGTTTTGGAAAGATTGTTGTGTACTTCTAATGTTGTTGAGCAAGTGTAGCCAACAAAAAGTTTGAAGGTTTGGTATACCACTAAACTGGTCTTCCCAAAAACTATAAAGTTCATGAATTCAGGAAGTTTCATTGTTCAAACAGACTCCTTTGGGTTTTCCTTTTAAAGGGTAGGGTCTGGTTGCTAAACCTAATTTTGGCTCAAGTCTGCCACTTCCTTGACTCCCCCAAACATTTCAATGGTCCAAAGCTGTCCCGTCTTAGAAGCCATGATCGCATTGCAAATCCGCAATGAAAAAAACGTGATCTTTGCAAGCTGCATGGCGGCAAATACTGGGAGCCTGGATCTGCGAATTTCGCGTCTCAGAAAACTTGAAGTACCGCAACAC